TGAATGCAGACGCCTATTATACACTCNGGAAGAACAGAGCAATTGAAAATATTCCTCCGACTGCTGATGCATTATATCAACACACTAAAAGAGCCACACTTCAAGCTCAGCTTTGGAAAAATTGTTTGTTAGCATTAGCACCAGTGTATGATCCAGAAAAATGGGGATGGAAGCGACTGACTGATGGAACTTATGGATTGTTGTGGACTACAATTCCTGACGTATCTTTGCATTGTTCTGAACTTGTGAAATGTTCCTGCAAAAAAGTTTGCCGAAATTGTAAGTGTAGACGCGGCGAGTTACGATGTACAAAGCTTTGCGCATGTAATGGAGATTGCAGTGAAGAGCCAATCAGTCATGATTCGATTAACTTAGATACATATTCGGATGATGAAAATACAGAAGTTGATACTAATTTTCTGTTTAATGATGATTGTTTGATGATTAAAGAGTACTTACCTTAGATTCATATGAAATGTACATAATTTTTTTTGGTCTTACCTTATTATTTACCGACTATTACATTTTTCTTACTATAGTTCTCATAACTTTTTCCAATTTTTTATGTTTATAAAGAAGTTAAATGTTGTGTAAAATTATTGTTCAATTAAAATTTTTAATAAAATCTAATTAATTTTTTAAATAGTGAAAAAAAATTTTTTTTTGAACAAAATGTTTGTGTCCCGTTATTTTTCAGTAGCAAATCATGTTATCTATCAATATCCAAAACGGCTTGCTGGGGTCCGGAAGTGAAATAATTTTTCACTAACCGACCTCACTAATAATTTGCAGCGCCACTTCATCTGGCTCTGGGGCTATTAAACATGCTTCAATGTTTACATCTTTAAAACCAGAAGAATAATGAATAACAAATAATTTAAATGATATGAAAGTAATAGTTAATAAAAATTTCACATTTTACTCGGTAGAAAAAATTCCATGCCCTCAGGTAGAGCATCCAAAATCCAAGAAGGTAAATAATTTGGCATTTTAAAGTAAAGATTCTAAAAGTACTACCACCCTTTGTTTATTAGATTATCTCCATAATACTGCTTGTGCATATTATGGTAAATATGAAAAATATATAAAAAATACATTTAAAAAATGCATAAAATAAATAAATAACTAACAGACAACCTAACTTTTCTTTTCGAAACTTTACTCTCACACAGAATTTCATTTTTACAACCCTGTGATTATAATGAAATGACAAAACATAAATAAACTAATAAATTGTTTAAAAAAAACCAATCTTAAATGCAAAAAACATTTTAAAAGATAAAATTTCCCGAATTTTTAGCCAAATTTTTTCTAAGCCATTAATAATACACATTATACAAATTTTGATGAAGGGTAGTTCTTTTCTATTTGTCTAATTTCAGTTTCGTTTTTTCGTTAAAATCGAAATTGACAATATGAAGAATATGAAGAATATAACAACTCTCAACTTCATTAAATGTAAAAAAAAACATTCCGACATAACTATTTTAACGTGGATCTAAAATGTTAAATTCGAATTAAACCCCCCACACAAAGTTCCAGCTAAAAAAAAACAAAAAAATTTATTTCAACCCTGGATTCAGGTTGAGTTTATTGTTGACGTGCCCCAATTGGAACTTTGTTTTATTTATTTTCATTTTCAGCTTATTCTGCACTGTCCAATCATCAATTTCAAGCAAACAACAAGTCAACTATTCTTCTAAATTCTCAAGCAACATAGATGATCTGCTAGCAATCATCTGTATGTCATTAGCAAAAACATGACATTTAAAACCAAATTTGTAAACATTACCAACCTCAGCAGTATTCATCAAAAACAACAATGGAACCAGCACAGAACCCTGTGGAACACCGAATCCTGTGGAACACCGAATCTTGTGGAACACCTAATCCTGTGGCACCCCTCATCAACGGCAGGTTTATCGTCACTAAAAACCTGCTGGAAACGATCCACTAAATATGACTCACACCATTTCAGCATTGTATCCATGTTTCATAAAACCAAACGCCGCACTCATGTACATAAATGCAATAATCAAACAAATCAACAACAGCAAATAAACCTGACATTACATTTACGAGTGCACTTTTTTAGTTACAATATGCAGATTGGCTTAGTTCTGAGCAACGTGAGACTAGCAATAACCCGCTCTATAACCTTTGAAAAAAAATTATTTGACCACTGGCGTACCGAGAGGGGGCGGGAACCTCCGAAAAGCACAATTTCATTAGTAAGCGAGATATAATTTAATTTTGTGATTTTTTATTGTTTTATATATTTAAAATCTTCAAAAATAATATGTAGCCGTTACAAAAAATGTTGTTTTTAAACACCAAACGAATTGGTAATCTACGTCTATTTCTATTCCGACTTTGACATGATTACACTGCACTTGCTTGGTCGATAGTTTTCTCGACATTTGTATAGACTCGTCGGCTTTTTCAAATTTTATTTTTTGTTCGTTCATTTCAGGTTGTTACATTGAGTTTTAAACTTTATTTAAAAATTTATCAAGCTCTCAGAATATCACAGACAAGTTTATATATAACTATTATTTTTCGGTTAAGAAAAAATTTATTCATCGGTAATCACCAGTTTAAATCAAATTAATCAGAAATCTAATCTAAGACAATAAAAATTCCATATATTTAAAAAAATACTGCGCAACAATAACTAGTTTTTGGAATACAAATAATTTAAAGTATATATATCTCAGTGAATGTAAGTACTTTTAAAATTGTATTTTGTTTGATTAGAGACACTGTGTGGCCTGCAAGTGTGGCGTGGTAATGAGTGGTTTCACGACTTGGCACCATTGGGTTTGAAAGCATGCTATGCCACATCCTAAAGAAGGCTTCCTCACATTTATCTCGTGTATGTTATTCGGCGATTAGCACCTGACTTGTGCACGTCGTTGCAGCACTGTTAAAATGAAACGACGAAGTTGTTCGGAGCAAAAATAAAATAATCACAGTCGATTCCAGGAAAAAAAATTCGTTAAATAGAGATTTCATTTTATAAAATATTGCCTAAAATGTGTTTATACGAGAAACAACCCCATAATAAATATTATGATAACAGAAACTAATAATACATGGTACAGTAGTAAAAAATTAAATTTTAAAAGTAAAATTTTTTTTTGTTCACGCAACGATGATTCCGATACTAGAATACTAGAACAAGAAACATTAAATATGGTTCTAAAATATTAAAGGAGTTCATATATCAATTCATAGAATGTTCGCTGATCGGATTTTTGTTTCAACTTTGTAAATTTTGTTCGTTATAGAGAAATTATGAAGAAACAGTTTTATATGTAAAATTCCAAGGAACATGAAAAAGTCGTTATATAGAGATTTTCATTGTATAGAAGTTCGCTAAAAGGAGGTCCAACTGTATTAAACTGCGAAAAGAAGAACGTCCGTTTTCACATGCACAATGCATTAAATTTATTATTTTATAAATCAAAATGGAATATTTTATACTAGTCTCTAGACGACGGGTTAACGTTTTTGTATCACTTTATACTTTTATTTTTCATCATTTCTTTAGATGGTGAACATGAAGAGACGTCATCCAAAGAAAGCACAAAAAAAAATTGGAATATGGAATTTTATATTGGAATTTGGAATAATGGATATAAAAATTCCATGATCCAGAAAATAATAGAACACAAAGAACAAAAAAGTAGCAACAACAACAATGCAATCAACAATAGTAACAAAAATAACATAGTAATATATTATAAGAATCATATGTCAACCGCTTTCGAACAGGAAGAAAAAATTATGAAAAGAATCATAAAAAAATAACGTCGAAACAATCAATGAGAATGATAGTATTAATCTACGAATATACTATTCCAACCAAAGAACGTCAGCTCTTGTGATGAAAAACAACTGCACTAGTAAACCAGAATCGATAATGAATCATAGTCATCTAATATATTTGATCAAATGTAATATTGGTGAGTGTGGGCACTATAATTCCGAATATATTGGTATGACGACGACTAAGTTATCGAGAAGACCCATGATGCACGTACAAACTGGCTCTATAAAGAATCATATGAAAAAAAAACACAAAACTAAAATTACTAGACAAATCCTGGACCCAAATGTTGAAATCTTACATTACAATAATAACCATTATAATTTACGACTATCAATCAATCAATCTTCGTTTAGCGTCCAGAGACCCAGTTCCCCTAAGTAGGTTTTCTTTGCCATCAATTTTTTGCGCCAAATTAGACGATCAGTTGTATCCATTTCATTTAAATTTAGAGCTTTCATGTCTTGCTCGATTGTTTACGAACAGGACTTCTTAGGACGGCCTTTGGGACGTGTGCCAGGTACTTCAACATCAGCAAGAAAAGTTATGGCACTGTTTCCACTTCGTTTGACATGACCAAACCATTCGTCAGTCGGCATTCGTCCTTTATATCATCTAAACCAGCACGACGCAGGATTTCGGTAGATTTGATGTGGTCTTTCAGTCTAATTCGTTGCATCTATCAGAGCATTTTCATGTCAGTTCGTTGAAGTTGTTGTTCTAGTTTGGTTGTCATTGGCCATGTTTCTGCACCATATAACAAGACCGGACGTATCACAGATTTATAGAGTCTTGATCGTAGTGGTAGTGGGATGTCAGGCCGCATCAATATAGAGGCACGGAAATGCCATTTATTCCAGGCTGCACATATGCGTGCTCGAACGGCAGCTTCAGCTGTTCCAGTACAATCCAGAACATACCCTAGATATTGAAACGATATGACTTTCTCTACATTAATGGCTTCAAAAACATTGCTATTTCGAATTTTGTTGTTGTGAATTGATGCAAGCAGGACAAACAAAATTGGACACTTTAGATAAAGTACCGATTATTTTTGAACAACGTTTGTGACGCCACTGGTTACACTGCTGACACTTGATTAAATTATTACCTACACAAGCTTTACAAACTGAACAGGGCCATTGTCCAGTAGCTGTAGATTGGATGGGTTCACCAGTGTTCATTGCTTTGGTTTTGCTGATGTTGACTTTAAATACATGATCGGCGAGTCTGGTGTTCCAATCTTCAAACTGCATTCTGCTCAGACGTGGCTGTTAAAACAATATCATCAGCATATATTAGATTCCAAATGTCACCAGTGCGTATCGGTTTTGTGATTTCTTCCATCACAGTTATAAATAACAGTGGACTGAGAATCGAACCTTGGTGAACTCAAACGCCGATGTTAAATGCATCTGTGTTTCCAACCGTTGTGCTGACGAGAGCCTTAGTATTCGTATACATTTCCATCACAAGTCGAACAAGATATTCTGGAATGAGTTGTCGACGTAGACTCCACCTGATTGCTTCACGGGGAACTCGATCAAATGCTTTTTCAAGGTCTACAAAAATGTGTAATTGTTGTTGATGCTTTGCGAGATACTTTTCCTGCAGTTGCCGTAGGATATTAATTGCATCAATGTTGATTTCCCTGCTAGAAAACCAAATTGATAATTTCCGATAGTGATGCACGACGTTAATCTTCTCTCAATGATTTTCTCGACAATTTTCAGGGAGTGTTCTAACAGACGTATACCCCGATATGATGAACAGTTCAATGGATCACCTTTGCCTTTGTATAACGGAACCGTCATGCTATAGTTCCATTCAGTCTGCATTAAGTAATTTCTCCACACTTCAGTTGTAGTAACGTTTGGATACCTGCAGTATCAGATGCTTTGATAATGTCATTTGTGAATCCAGAGGGTCCTGCTGCCTTTCCATCCTTCATAGCTTTCAGAGCTTCATGTAAGCTTCTCTACAGTGATGTCTGGAATCGGACCTTCGGTGGGTGGAGCGCCAAAGTTGACATTGATGGAATTTATTTCATATAACAGACGGTTGAAGTATTCTCTCCACTGTAGCTTGATCTCATCTTGTTCAATAACCATCTCATTTTTGTTGTTTTTGATACATAGGCACCAATTATGCAGTGGCGGATGTAGACAACTTTGACGGGGGCAAAATTTTATAAATGTTTAAAAGTTTAATTTTTTTTCAAATTTGGACAAGGGGCCAAGATTTGTGGTTGCGTTGCCAAAATTAGGCTGGCGACCTTTTTATGATATAAAATGTTGTTTTTTAAGCAAAAGCTGAGTTTTTTCAATAAATATACTGCTCACAACTGGGTGATGGTCTCTCCGGCCTTACGCCAAGATATGTATAACGGTTAAAGGTTTCCCTCTCTCTCTTTTGCGTTTGCTTCAGAGGTTTCAACGACAAACACACACAGCGTATATGAATACGCGTGCAAACCACGCATCATACACATTGCATATGATAGGCGCGGATCTCTTTGTATTCGAACCCAGTCATAGCAATAGCAAGACCAGGCGCCTTTAACCATTGAGCCATCACGCCGCTCATATACGCCACTGAATGTATATAATACATATTAGGGATGCACCGAAGTTCGGCCCCGGCCAATATCCGGCTTTTTTTTCAAATCCGGCCTTAAATCCGGCCCCGGCCAGAATTGGTGGCCGGATATAAGGCCGGATTTAAGCGTCTATCGACATTTTAAAATGTTATAAATAGAAAAAAAAATTTCATTGAATTCAATTAATTTTATGTCAATAAGTTAAAAGCTAAGCATACATGACACATAATAACAACATCACAAATTGTGAAATGAGCTGGACAATTTTCTTTGTGCTATAACATGGGTTATGCATAAATTATAAGCTGATCTTTGTGTAAAAGAACTTGTGCACGTGTTTATACTATATAGTTGTATATGACGAATCATAAAGCTACATAATATATATATATATATATACATAATATATATATATATATATATATATATATATATATATATATATATATATATATATATATATATAATCGCATTATTTAAGAACATGGTATGTTAAAGGTTAGGCTAGGCATACATGTCACATAATAACAACATCACTAATTGTGAGGTGAGCTGGACA